GGTGATTGCCCTTCTCCATCTGCATACAGTTTCATGCCCGTTGCTGGTTGGCTAACTCACAACGGGGTCTTACCAGCCAATGGAATTGTGTGATTACGAGCCAGGGGAATCCCATAAAAGAGGGCTCCCCTGGCCCAGATGCCAGTCCGGATTTACTTTATGCCTTGCCAATAAACCGAGAGCTGACTGTCACTCGACTCGTATCTTACTGCCTGCGCGATCTAACAAAAACAGTTAACTTTTTATTGAAAAGATGTATAGTTGGCCTTGACTTACAACAGTTCATTTAGTGACCATTCAAAGTTACGACGACACTGAAAAAAATGAGAGGGGGGAGGGGGGGAGGGGGAGAGGGGGAGTGAGACAGAGACAGAGACAGAGAGACCCCAGTATTGATCTACTTGCTGCAACAAGGGAGGCTAGAATGACCCAGACTTTGGGCCAGTCGCTCACTCTCACCCCTACAAAGGAGGTGATGGCAAGCTACTTCTGAAATCTTGCCAAGAAAACTGCAGGGACCTGCCCAGGCAGTCTTCCCCAGGTATCAAAACTGATACACAGGCACACACAAACAAACATTCCATCACAAAGCTATTCTGCCCTCTTGTGGCCCAATCACGGAAAGACAAGACAAGCAGAATTCTGCTTTCATTTTGAAGTAGGCGGGGCCTAAAAATGGAAACTGATCTAGGACTCTCTCTCAAATTAACTTAGTAATTTTTATGAGAACCAACACAGTTTGCTGTTCGTGAATCTGTATATTGGGATGGGTAACTTAACCTAGCCTGGGGGCTCTATTTTAGTATTTTGATTTAGTATGTGCTTATATCTTAGGACAGATAACAACCACATTGTGAGGATGTTTGGGATGAGAGGGATTGACTGGCCCAAAGTCTCCCAGTAAGCTTTGACGGCAGAGACTGAACTGAAACCTGGGTCTCTCCACTCCTAGTCAAATATTTTATTCACAACACCTCACTGCTTGGAAAGAGAAATCAGATGACTTCAATTGTGTAAGGTGCATCAGTATCCTCAGGATTGTCCCAATCAGACGTCAAGTTACGTTGCACGCAGATGGTAAACACAAAGAATCTAACATTCAGGACAGGAATTTCCTGGTGGACTTTCATCTCTATACTTGCTAATCCTAATTTGGCTTATTTTCTGAGCCCCCCCCCCCAATTTCAGCAAGATGGTACCATTTCTATATACTTTCCCTTTCTGCCCTAAGAGGTCACAAGGAGCATAGCCAGTGACAGTGTGTTCTCACTGGAATAGCCCATCCAGCATCCCAAGAAGCAACATGGAAAGATTTGTTTTTGACTGAGGATATGAGGAAAAGTAGGCCCCTTTCGCCTTGCCAAGGCTGAAATGCAAGAGAATTTGCTGAAATAGGTACTTTTTCCAATGCAAATCAATGAAGAAAAAGGACAGAATGAATTTAAAATTGGAAATGTGAAAAATCAAGCAAAAACATGTTTTCTGTCTCCCACTGAGAATTTTACCTGAATATCTGTCAGCTCCTTCAGAAACCGTTTTGCAATCTCAGGTCCATTTTCCATTGTGGGAATATGATAATTCTGTTCCAAGAGAGACAGAAACCCAGTTTGTATTTAGAAGAACAACATAGATGTAGGGAATCCAATAAAGTCGCAATTGGGAATGTCCCGTGACTCTCACCTTGCCCTGATAGAGAATTCTGTCCACGGGACATACCACACAGGCCGTGCCTGAGCCAAATATTTCCTTCAGCCTTTTCTCTTCCAAGCCTTTAATCAGGTCAGACATGGTGATGACTCTCTCTGAAACCTTGAATTCCCCCTGGGTAGAAAGAGAGACAAACACGTTTAAATCCTGCTGTTGGCCATTTTTTAAAATGCAGAAAGACTGAATTTTGAATGAAGGCAAATATACATGTCCCAGGGTAATGTTGCAAGATGGAATCTGAGTCGGTCATCGGGACCAGAGTTTTACTCTTCCAAGCTTTCGGAAGGAAACAACAGCCAATCGCTGGCCGTCAACACACCGATCAACTAATAGGAAGGTACCACATAAATAGGACTCACAGAACAGCCCAAAGCACATATTCCAGTAGAGAGAAGTTCCCTGAAGATGGGCTCCAGCAGGAGTCCAAAAGCTTGGAAGAGTAACTCTCTGGTCCAGTGACTGACCCCAATTCGATCTTGCAACTGAATTTTGAGTCCAATCCATCTATTTCAGGACCACTTCTTGGTTGCACAGGCAACTGCATGCAAACATCTCAGAATCAAGCCATTCTGTCTTCAAAGAGGTCTTAGAAAAACTGTCTAAATTTCTGGGGATTCTCTGTCAGTCAATGAAGACTAGGGACCAGTGGTTCCTTGACTCTCCTCATCCAAGACTCCCAGTATTGGTGGCAATAAGGTTGAACATTCATAGTAAAGCTTCCTACCATGTCAAAAACATTTGAAAATTATCCTGTAAGACCAACAATCAATTTAATAGTTATTGTTACTCAATAGTACGAAAAGGTCAGGGAAAAAAAACCCATCCCACTAGAAGCAACAATTGGGGGGGGGGGGGGAAGCATCTGCGACTTCACACTTCATTCTTTTTTTTTTGTATGCTAAAAGCGAAGGGCACTTCAGTTGCATAGTTGCAACCACTATTTTGACCTGTTTGAGCTTCCCTTCCAAGAGATCTCCACATCCCACCCTTTGGCCACCTTGGAAAAATGGAAAATCCCAGCCCTACTCCCTTGACAATATTGCTCATTTCTATGGTCCTAAGTCACCCCACCAAAATGTAGACTCTGATTCTCTCCTTAACTCATGATTTGACATCAACACCCTTATTTTTAGCCAGGAAATTGTCCTCTCTGCTGCTCTCTCAATTCATTCTTTTTTTTTTATATAAAATTTTTATTGATTTTTATAATTAAACAACAAAGATTATGATGCATTTACGTACATAAACAGAAAGAAAAAATAATCCAAGTAAATACGTTTTCAGAGACGCTCGGCAGACCCCGCCATGCCTCCACCCTCATCCACTTTCCTTTCCTTCCTCCCTCTAACCCCCAACCTCTCCACCTTCCTCCTTACCACCTACCTACATCCCCTCTCCTTTCTAACCACCTCCTCAAGTACAATTTGGGATACCAGCCGAGCATCTCCTCTTATCAATACAATGAATATTTACCTATAAAATGTAAATACATCAATTTTTGTAATTCCCCTAATCCCCTACTCCCCCTGGACTTCCCGGAACCCAATACAGGACTAACACTCATCCCATTCCATATCTAAATTACAATTTAACTAAACAAACATAATACAATCAATATATACCTACTTTAACTCTAATAATGCAATAAGTAACAACAATACAAATACTCATAAACTATATGATATTTATTCACTCCATACTTTCTCTAAGTATAATTTATCCACCATCAACATTTAAACTCAAAACAATTTTTAGAAATCTAAATATCTATCAATCATTTTATGTAAATTTTTTCTTACATTTTACTCTTAAATTTTTCCTTCACTTTCTTCACTCTCAAATCAATACTTTCAACAAGAATCTTAAGTCAATACTTCCTTCTTCAAAGCTGGAAAAGTAATTTAGTTTATCAAATATTTTAAGACTTTCAACATACTATAAGTTCTTTACAGACATATAATCAAATATTAAACTAACTTCTTCCTTTTCCATAATAAAATCTCACTTCCAGCATCATCAATTTAACCATCCTTTGGCTTATGAAGCTTATTCAGCATTCCCTGCAGGTCTATCGTTGCAGATCTCTTTGGCCTCGCCCCTCCCACTAGTTCTGAAATCGGTGAATATATTACAGTTTCCTTTTGTTGTTGTTCTCTTTCTTTACGCCTATAGGCAGCACGAGTCATCCTTTGCTCCTTTGCGTTCACTCCCAACTTTTGTTGAATCTGAGGATCTCCTGCAGATAATGACATGGCCCCAGGCAATTCCACAACAAGTTGTTCCATCAAATCTTCCTGTGCTTTAGATGTTGATGATGGTGACAAATCAGCTTTCAGGACCGACACATAAAAATCTCTGGCTTTCTGTACAGAGTTTAATCTGTATCTGGTCCCTGCAAAATTTACCACAATGCCCAAAGGAATCTCCCATCTAAAAGGCATCTGCCGCTTCTTTAGCTCCTGAACCAAAAAAGTAAAGTCTTTTCTTCTTCTTAAAATCTTAGAAGGTATTTCTTTTAAAAGTATAATATCTTGTGCAGCAATTTGAAATCTCTGCTGGTAAAAGAGCTGTATAATTTTGTTATGACGTACTCTTGTGGTGAAGTAAACAACCACATCTCTAGGTATATTTCTCTGATGTGCAACCCAGGAATTGACTCTATAAATTTTTTCTATTTCTCCACAGATCACCTCAGGGTTGCAATTCAACACCAGGGCCAAAGCTGTAACAATTTTCTCCTTAAGTTTCTCTTGTAAATCCTCCTTAAGCCCTCTAATTCTCAAGGCAAATTCCATTTCTTTATATTGTGACATCACCATGTCATTTTGTAAGTTCTCCACACCTTCTTCTACTTTCTCAAGTCTGTCCTCTGTTCCTTCCATTTTCTCCACTAAATCATCCACCCTCCCCTCTATACGATCAATGTGAATTGCTAGTCCTTCAAAAATATGTGATATATTTTCACAAAGTTCCTGATTTTTCTTATCCAAAAGTTCTGTTTGTTTCAAAGTCTGTAATGAGGACTTAGCTAAAGCCTCTTGCAAATCTTTAAGTGTAATAGAGGGAGGTGGTGATGGTGGGGGAGATCTAGGTTTTTGTTGTTGAATTTGCACAACAGGAGAAGAAATAGCTGTTTTAGGCAATGCAGAAACTCCAGTACGTTTTGAAGCCATTCTGCCAAATTATTTTTAAAACTCACAAGAGCAAAAATTAACTTAAAAAAGCTTGACTTAAGAAGAGTTCTTTAAAATCCTTTAAAATGCATCATTCCACCACCGGAAAAAAAGTGAAAGTTTTCCTTTTGTTACAAAGAAACAGCGCTTCCGCGGCCATTTTCTTCTCACTTTCACTTATAACAAATAACGAAAATCCCAATAAAGTCTTTGAGTTAAAGTCACCATTTGGCTAAAGCAAAAATCCCCTGTCAGGTTCCGTCTGTTCAAAAGTTACTCACAAGCAGATACAAAGTAGCAGCAGTGGCAGCGACGTCTAGCCTCGCTCCAAAGAGCGAAGACACTCCGAGCTGCGGAGAAGAGGTCCAGACTCCGGGGGAGTTCACGCCTACATCCCCCCAGGATCATTCCTGGGGGGACTAGGGAACTCTACCCCTATCCGAACCAAACTCACTTTCTCCCCTTTGCCCGGGGAGAAAGTTCCGAGCTGCAAAACAGCTGATCCGCACTGTTTTGACAGCTTTGACGCAGTCCCTGGCAGGAGGCTGAGAAAAAAGCCTCCATCGGCGAAGCCTCGCCACCGGAAGTCTCTCAATTCATTCTTGAGTGCAAGAATGAATGCTAAAAAAAAAGAAATGTTACAAAAGAAAAAAAAAAAAGCACCAGTTTCAATAAGAGGCATGCAATCCCCCCATCAGTGGCAGGGCTACCCCACACTTCTGCATACTCACCCATTTGCGGGCCAAATCAAGAAGGCTTTGTCAGATCACACCAGGTAAAATGATTCCATTAAGCGGAGGGGTGACCAGCTCCATATCTGAAAAATGAACATTACAGTTATACATTTTCAGGGATGGTTGTATGTCACTGCACAAAAATATTTCCGAAACCCCAAAAGGCAGAACTAACTGAGGGGAGGGAATGTGATTATAATTAAAAGACAAAATCAGTTCTGACAGAAGCTTTAGAAAGCTGAATTGCATGGGAATTTAGTCCTATATACAGAGTTTATTTATCAATCCAAATGGCACAAAGTTGCCGCTGGTTTCAATGTGCCAATTCTGCACATACAGTAACTAACCCGGGATCCAAACACTAGCTATGTTTAATCAGAGAAGAGCAACCAAAAACATACACATATTATTTTCATAAATGACTATGAGATAATATTTAATATACATTCCGTCATACTTTCAAGAGGTTTAATTTTTTGGAACGTGTAATATGGCAACACTTATATAAGTTTTCATTTTCTTTTTAAATTATTTAAAATTTCAGAACAAGGATAGATAAGATAGATAGACAGATAGACAGACAGACAGATAGACAGAGATAGTCAGACTGACGGATAGACAGATGTCAGACAGACATTAAGCAAGCAAGCAAGCAAGCACCAAAGGTTAAGGAATCCTAATTGACTAATGTGGCCATTTTTCTTGATTAATCAGTTTTAATCTGCACAAATTTGCATACGGAAAACAAAATACAGGCACTCCTCGACTTACAATCACAATTGGGGCCAGAATTTCCATTGCTAAGCAAGGCAGTTATTAAGTGAGGCGTGCCTGACTTTACAATTTTGAGGGGGGGGGGCAAAAAGTACGTATAGTCAAGGCCATGGTTTTCCCAGTTGCAATGTATGGCTGTGAAAATTGGACCATAAGAAAGGCTGAGCGCCAAAGAATTGAGGCCTTTGAACTATGGTGCTGGAGAAGACTCCTGCGAGTCCCCTGGACTGCAAGGCAATCAAACCGGTCAGTCCTAGAGGAGATCAACCCTGACTGCTCTTTAGAAGGCCAGATCCTGAAGTTGAAACTCAAGTACTTTGGCCACCTAATGAAAAGGAAGGACTCACTGGAGAAGAGCCTGATGCTGGGAAAGATTGAGGGCAATAGAAGAAGGGGATGACAGAATGAGGTGGCTGGATGGAGTCATTGAAGCAGTAGGCGTGAGCTTAAATGGACTCCAGAAGATGGTAGAGGACAGGAAGGCCTGGAGGAACATTGTCCATGGGGTCGCGATGGGTCGGACACGACTTCTCAACTAACAACAACAATGGTTGTTAAGCGAATTGCCATGTCATTAAGTGAATCGCATGATTGTTAAGTAAACCTAGCTTCCCCCATTGACTTGTTGAAAGCCAGCTGGGAAGATCACACATGGTGATCACATGACCCCCCGGGGCCCTGCAAGCGTCATAAATACATGCCGGTTGCCAAGCACCTGAATTCTGATCATGTGACCTGCAAAGGTTGCAAGGGGGAGCGCCTGTTGTAAACCACTTGTAGTTTCAAATGGCTCTAAGTCAAGGACTACGTATAGGACTAAAGGAAAAACTCAAAACGTATTCTTCCTGATGCCTCTTGGTGCTCTTTGTGCCCTGTTAAGAAATGACACCCTTTTCTCTATGACACAAGAAAATAAAATCCCTGGCCACTTGTCATTTTGAGTAAGCGCTTGCATTTGGATACTAATTTAATAAGTTATAAAACCCACAAATCCAGAGAACGCATGGCTTGGGTGCTAAGGTGTTTTTTTAAAGATTCGCCAAGGTTGCCTCCTCCTCCTTCCTGCAACGGTGGGTGTCTGCAGGAGGGCAGCAAGTGTGAAATATGCATCACAACACAAACTTTGTCCCTGCGTGCAGTAGCACAATGCAAAGGTGAAACGGTAGAGCTTTGGGGGGTCCTCATTTTGGTGACAACCATTTCATCATGTTGGCATCATTGTCCTCGACTTATAACAGTCAATAAGAGGCTGTCCATAGTTATGACAGACCCTTCCCAAAAGGCACTTACGATCCAATTTCAAAGTGACGGTGGCCATAACGCCACCTCCTCAGTCACATGATCACATTTTGGGCACTTGGCAACTGGCTCACCTTTATGGCCATTTACAATGTCCCACACAACCACAATTGTCAAAAAAATTTTTTGCCCATTTCTGGTATTTACTTCTGGTTCCCGGCAAAACACATCCATCGGGTATAATGGATTCGCTTAGTGACCACAGCATTCACTGAACAGACCACCACTAAACACATAGTGTAAAGTTGGGTCCAGTCACATAGTGACCCGCTTAATGACCATAATGAGAATTCCAGGCTCAATTGTGGTCGTAATTTGAGGACTACCTGGTAGTTAGGAACAGATGCCCATACACTACCCCAATAAATATATCCAGGAGATGAGGAGAAGAGACTGAACAGTTTTGGATGAAAAACCAAGATGAGGTTTTTGGGTAAGTGAAGGAATTTCCTAATGGTAATTTATTTTAGGAGCAAAGCTATGATGTTTACTCAATATGTTGAATCAGCTTTACAAAGCCCAAAAGAACCAATCTGAATCCACAACTACCCTGAGATAAAATTCCTTACCTCCCTCTTGGTCCTTCCAAAACAAGAAAATGTTCATGGTCCCAACTTCAGTGATTTGGTGGTCGTCTCCATACAGCCACAAAACCTGCTGGCAACCCAGTTTGGCAGCCTCTCCTTGCACATATATGGTGGGGCCATAGTTGCTAAGAGCAACACAAGAACAGGACAAGACTCTGATCAGATTCAAAGGCATTTATCCGTTGATCGAAATGAATGCAAAGCCAGCCTGAAAGACTAAGAGGGAAAGAGGAAAGGGACAACAGATGGAGGATCAAGCACATCTCCAATTAAACCAAAGACCCCGGCCTTGTTGAAAAGAGGCAGCCAACAAGCTTCTCTAAATACCTGGTTGAGCATCCCCAAATTCTTCTCCCCAAAACCTTTCCTCCGGTCAAGGTCCGGTTACTCTATTCCTGCATATATTTGGAAAATGGACCACTGCTTAAGTATTAAAACAGGGGTGGAACATCTATAGCCTGTCTGTGGCAATCCTCATATTTTTTTTCAGTGGCACTCAGGGCCCTATAACAGAATAAAAGAGTTGGAAGGGACCTTGGAGGTCATCTAGTCCAACCCCCTGCTCAGGCAAGAAACCCTATACAATTTCAGACAAATGGCTGTCCAGTTTCTTCTTAAAAACTTCCAGTGTTGGAGCATTCACAACTTCTGGAGGCAGGTTGTTCCACTGATTAATTGTTCTAACTGTCAGGAAATTTCTCCTTAGCTCTAGGTTGCTTCTCTCCTTGATTAGTTTCCATCCGTTGCTTTTTGTCCTGCCTTCCAGTGCTTTGGAGAATAGCTTGACTCCCTCTTCTTTGTGGCAGCCCCTGAGATATTGGAAAACTGCTATCATATCACCCCTCATCCTACTCTTTGTTAAACTAGACATACTGTACCTAATTCCAGCAACCATTCTTCATATGTTTTAGCCTCCACTAATCATCTTTGTTGCTCTATAAAACTGAAATATGTTGGAAAATTGGCAATTTTCAGGGATGAAAATTTTCCCCATTTGAAAAAAAATTAAAATAAGCTAAAATATATACTTTATGCTTCTGCTAGGGTGAGGGAAAAGACTGTATTTAGAGTATGATTCCTACTCCATTTTGACCCCTATTATCTCCTTTGTTGCCATATCACAAATTCCTGCAGTCTTCAAGGGCTTGGATGAAATTTAAAAACAGAAAAAAGTCCAACTCTTGCCTCAAGGAAAATGTCCCATCTCTACAAAATATTGGGCTACAGTAGCCCTTCTCTACCTGTATATGCCTTCCAGGACTGTGGACTTCAAGCCCCAGAATTCCCCAGGCATTGCCAAGAACGTCAGGAGGTGAAGTTCACCCATCTGGAAAATGTCCAGGTTAGAAAAGTCTGACTTAAAAACAGTCCAGCTTCATTCAGCCACTTAGGTTAAAAGAAGTCCTAGACTTACCCGCCTACTTTGCAATTGCCAACACCACCCATCCAGGCACGGACAAATTGGGGATCAGCCAGGAGGGAAACAGGACTGAAGCTGCCAGTCGTAAAATAAGGACCCACAAGGCCCAAGATCACAAAGAGCAGTGCGTGATTAGAAATGGAGACCCCCAAGGAAGGCTGCAGAGAGGAGAAGGGGAGAATGCTAGATAAGAGGCTGATAAGCAAACATGATCAGAATCAGCAGATCTATAAATTCTGGAAGTTGAGTCATGGCAACTGAACTCCTTTTCTTTTTGGTTTGAAATAGTCCTCCTAACTGACTTGCTCAGCCTGAAGAAGCTTCTTGGATAAGCAGCGAAATGTTTCAAATCAAAAAGAAAAGAAGTCCAGTCGCCATGACTCAACTTCCAGACCACTCTCCCTGGATAACTGAGAATCTCCTTGGCCGGATCTATAAAGGCAACAAATGGCCAATTTTGTCGGCTGAAAAGCTAAGTGAAGTCAGGCCTGCTCCATGCCGAAGAGTCAGACCACCAGAATTTCCAGAGCTATCCATAGGCCAGATGGAGAAGTTAAAAAACAATATGGAAAATTGTAATGGCAAACTAATTCCAAACCCTCGCCAAGAAAACTATGTGAGCCTAACTTCAGCATCTCCAGAAACTAAGCCTGACTGAAAGGAGATTCAACTTTTTTAACACTGTTCCTGTTTCAATCACACACTTAACTGGATTGACTCACTACTGTAATGAATAGGATAGGGATGGGGATGGGGATGCGGATGGGATGCGGATGCGGATGGGGATGGGGA